TATAATGAGAGTTCCTAGTAGGATTACATGAATACTACTACTACTAGGATTACATGAAAAGAAACCTAGTTAGACTAGATCTTCTCTCTTCCTTGCGGGGTATCCTGTGGGTCCCGCATCGACAGGGCACCATAGTGTGGGCGCGGGCGCTGAGCGACATGGGACACGAAGCGCGCGTGGGCCACGATGTGGGCACGTGGGCCACGATATTGACAAAAGATGCTCGGCAGTCTACTGAGGGGTATGCCCACGATGGTAGATTGTTTGGTAGAGGTGCGCGTGATCAGAAACTAGATGGTAACAGAGACACAAGACATAAGATTTATACAGGTTTAGACCGTCAATGTGACGTAAAACCCTATATCCTATGCTCTGTTGGTTTGTATTGCTAGAATACGAGATAAGATGTGGCATTCTAGGGATGCCGACTAGGGGACCCCTGCCCCTCCTTATATACTCTGGAGGGGAAGGTTTACAAGGAAAGTATCCTAGTCGGTTACATGGTAAGTATTACAATATCTATAGCATCCGATCAAATCTTCTAGGTGCCTTGCGGTGTACGTCGAGCAGTGTTGTGCGCCACAAGTCTTGATGTCATGGGCTGGACTGTCCCTAATGGTGCAGCCCATGTCCCTTGTCATGGGTACCCACAGCTAGTCCCCAAGCGCCTTGTATCCACTTGGTGACGCCGTCTTGAGCAAGCTCGAGAGGTCCAGTGAAGAGCCGACCAGTTTAAGTGATGACCTGGACGGTGAAAGTCCAAGCCGACTAGTTTAACTAGTGACCTGGGCGGTGAAAGTCGAAGCCGACCAGTTTAACTGGTGACCAGGGCAGTGAAAGTCGAAGCCAACCAATTTAACTGGTGACCTAGGTGGTGAAAGTCGTATCCGACCAGTTTAACTGGTAAGCAGAGCTCGGACCAAGCCTAAGAGAGGTTCACCAATAGGATGTAAGGAGTTCAAGATAAAATTTTGAGAATTCTTGGTTGGTGAAGTGTACACACTTATGTGCCAAGTGCGATGGCGTCGACGACGTAGTCATCAGAGCATAGCAGAGGCATTAAGCGACAAATTTGGCGTAGTCAAAGCATCATGAAGAAGAACCAGTACATGCACCACAAGGTGCAGTGTACACACTGTAGTCCCTGAGCCTGAGATTAGGTGTAGGTTACACTTAGTGTCAGGGTCTTGAAGAAAAAGAAACAGTCCCCAACGTAGCTTAGAAAGCATAGCAGTACATTCACCGCAAGGTGAAGTGTACACACTTAGTCCCCGGGCCTGCTAGAAGATAAAGAATGAATCTTGTATCAGGGTCAAAGAAATCAGGAGCTTGATATTTCGGTGTTGATACATAAAGTAGCCAACGTCATCTGCCATGTATCTACCAAGACCCTCAACGTGTTGTTCAAGATCAGCACCCTGATCCAAATAGCATGGAGAAACTTGATAGCACACATGGCATGCAACGCCGTCGAAATGTAGTAAAATCCGACTGCCAAGAGAGTCCCCAGCTTGGTTGGTGACTCTTGCACGAAGAATCCGAACGCCGAGGAGTCTCCAGCTGAGCTGGCGAGCCCCCAGCGTAGCTGACGATGAAGCCCAAGCGATGAACAATCCGACGAGTTGGTTGACGAAGAAGCAAGCACCGAGCAGTCCAACCAACTGGTCGGCGGCGAAGTGAGCGTCGAGTAGAAGTGAGCGCCGAATAGTCCGACCAACTGGTTGGCGACGAAGGTCATAAACCTAGCGGTCCAACCAATTGATCGGTGGAGAAGTCCGAAGGCCAGGTGGTGCGACCACTCGGACGATGATCCTGCAATACAAATATGTAGAACGGGTAGTACATGTTGTAAAAATAAAATATATGAACTCGGCGATGAAGAAAATAGAGCGGAGTTGATCAGGAGCAATATATCGGTGAATTTTATATCCTGCCGAACAGTTTATGTTTATTTGGAGTTTGTTCATATTTTAAATATGAGTAACTTCCTTTCATTTGGTTCTATATCACGTCACCAGCCCTGACTAGCCCAAACTCTATAGCGCGGAGTGGCCGGCACCCATGTATGCGTAAGAGAGAGAGCGTCGCTAAGGAGGCGCTGCTGACTATCCATAACGCAGAGCGTGGCTCGTGCACGTGTAGGGGCGAAGTCGAGGTCAGGACCGTTTCTGGATGCCGTGAGTAAGAATGTGGCTGGTCGGCGAGTCGAGTGGAGAATATCTTTAAGATATTACGCATGGAGAATTAGCGGACAACGAATGGAGCGTTGTGGAGACGTTGAGTATGGAGAATAAATAGAGAAGTAATAATTGAAGAAAACATGGTGAAAATTGTATTAAATACAGATATAAGAAGGATACTTATATTTAATCAGATCGTCTGGTCGGCAGCGTATGACGTTATCTAGTCGGCGTCGACGAAATTGCGCAGCCCTCGAGCTTTCCGGCCTGTCGTCATGGCGGCAGTCACGATCATCGTTGCGCCGTTGTTCGCGGCGATCATCATTGCGACACGACAGATGATTGGAGCGAGTAATCCGGGCGACGTTGTCCTTATATTACTGGTCGGCCTTAGGCAGATCAGATTCAGAGAGATCTTGAAGCAGCCGCATTCAATCTTATCAACGGCTGAGTGGAGTAGTTGGTGTGTCGTAAAGATGTAGTCGGACTTAGTCGTGCAAGGGTCGGAGCCCTACGGACGTGCGGAGTCGCAATGGAGCCTGACGGAGTTTACTTGTAGACTTCTGACACGGAGTAGTCGGAGGTACATCGTAGATGCATCCATCTAGGCAAGCAGCAGGGACGTGATGTATGCCTTTGTAGATGCAAGTTTGGCATAACTAGCTTGCATGCCTGGTGATCCATGGAAGCCTCTATGTCTTCATGATTTCCATAATTAGCTTGCTTGCGTCATCATGGATGGCGTTGAGAATTATTCATCCTGAGCATCTTCACGGATATGCATCTGAATTGCGTTATCCTCGCGGTCGTTGGTTGTGGCAAGTCATCACATACTACGTTTGTTGCAAGCCCACGACAAGGCGGACTCTAGCACGTGTAACCGGTCGCCGAGGAAGGCAATCCGCCGCGTGACACGTACGGTGATAGGATTCGTGTTGATGCTTGGCCGACTCGGATGATGTCAAGGACATCGTGTTTCACCACGGGTCGGAGCGATGCTGCGTGCGTGTAGCGGTCAGTTGTGTCGACGTCGAGTCTTGGTCACAGATTGTTGAAGGGCGCCGCCACGATCAACCGCTCGACTGCGCGTACATGAGTGTGTGGGTTGCATCGAGACGGCAAGTCCGTGGTAAGCTGACGAAGGACGCCGCCGTGAAAAACCGAGTTGCCACGGATCAAGCGCACATCCCTATCTGGTGCGTCAACTGTCGACAAAAGATGTTCGACGGTCCACCGAGGGGTATGTCCACACGATGATAGATTCTTTGGTAGAGGTGCGTGTGATCAGGAACTAGATGGTAACGGAGACACAAGACATAAGATTTATACAGTTCAGGCCATCAATGTAACGTAAAACCCTGCGTCTTGTGCTCTGTTGGTTTGTATTGCTGAAATACGAGATGAGATGTGAAATTCTGGGGATGCCGAATTGGGGACTCTGCTTCTCCTGCCTCTCGTTATATACTCTAGAGGGGTAGGATTACAAGAAAAGTATCATAGTCGGTTACATGGTAAGTATTATAATTTCTGTAATATCCGATTAGATCTTCTAGGTGCCTTGCGGTGTATGCCGAGCAGTACTGTGCGCCGCAAGTCTTATGTCGTGGGCTAGACTGTCCCTGATGTTGCGGTACATGTCCCTTATCGTGGGTACATGGGGTTATACCTCTACAGTGGCACGGGACACGGAGTGGCGCGGGCCACGGGCGTGCGAGACACGGTGCGGGCATGGGAGAAGGAAAACAACAAAGCATGGATATGGAAAATTACTGTCAAGCAATTGATTAGCTATGCTATCGATGTTGCTAAATGCCGTCACATTCTAATTTCTAAGTGCTTCCAGCTACCTCATCGTGACCGGTGTTACTGCCTGCAAAACCAATAGCAAAAACATCTGTAAAATTAGAACCAGGTTAATACTACTACTACAACTACAAAAGAGGAACTGCATAAGCAGGAAATGGATCTGCCGAGGACCCCGTGTACAGCAAACACATATACTTACATCAGTTGCCATTTGGTCCTTGGTTGAGAACAAGTCCTCCAGCAGTTTGTCCAAAGAATCCTTAGCTAATAGAGACTTGTTCACTTCTTTATGTCCTGATGATTCTACACAATCCTTATCAGGTGTGGCGCTGTTTTGACACTGCGGCCCGTTTGCTGGTCTGAAACTTAGGTGAAAAACACTGTTCCGGTTGGTGTGTTGTGAGAGAAAAATATTGTTCGGCTAGTTTGGTGAACAATAAAATACGAGGAGAGCAGCCGGCTGGCTGGTCTGGACCAGACCAGCGAACGGCCCTGCAGCGATAACAGCAGTTTAGCCTGATCAGATATCTCATCCTAGAGCAGTACATATCTTCATTGCCGTTCACTAGTTCAGGTAAACAATTGAAATGATAAACAACATCTAGCTTCGAGTTCTGCAAGATTGACATCCATGGAAGGGTACCACACCTCTGCATTAGCAGCTCCTGGATGCTCTGATGTGTCTCCATTTTGGTTCAACTGAGGCCCCGTTTAGTTTCCCCCAAAATCCAAAATTTTTTACGTAGTACCCGTCACATCGAATCTTACGGCATATGCATGGAGTATTAAATATAGACGAAAAAAAAACTAATTGCACAGTTGGGTGAGAAATCACAATACGAAACTTTCGAACCTAATTAGTCCATAATTAGACACTAATTACCAAATAAAAACGAAAGTACTACAGTACCCCAAACCTAAAAATTTTTGGATCTAAACACGCCCTGACATTCTGCAGCGCTGGAATGCCGCGCGGGTTCCTACAGAGCAGCTCGGTCGGACGCGTGACAACGATCAGAAAACGATGGAGACAATAATGACGAGAACATGTTGTCTGAGCTGAGCATCAAATCGCCGTGTCAGCACCTCACCTGATCCTTGGCAGCATCCTGCTGTCACTCCGGCTGGAACTTCTGCAGCAGCAAGGTGAGCAGCTTCTGCAGCTCGGGGGGCACCTCCTCGGGGAAGAGCTTGGGGATGTCGTCCTTGGCGACGTTCTCGTTGACGCACCGCCTGATCAGTATCCTCAGGCACACCAGAAGCTGCAGCAGGGAGACGCCGAAGAAGCAGAGTTGGGGACTGAACAGTCTGAACCTGCACTGCAACGCTCGCGACGCGAGCGATGGAGCAGAAAGGAAGCAGGGAAGACAAACGGTGGGGAGGGGCAGGGGGTGTTGACGGGGTCGAGCTCGGCGTCGGAGGCGAGCTGGAGGGCGTCGCGGGCGACGGTGCGGTCGGCGGCGTCGAGGTCCGTGCGGCGCGTGCGCCAGAGCGCCTGAAGGATGTACTGGACCGACTCCTTGGACCCCGCGCGCGCGCCAGCAGTGGGAGGTGCGCGTGCCCCCACAGCGCCGCCGTCGCGCCGGGCTCCCGCTCCATCTCTGGGGTTCTGTTCTGCCACACCGCCGTCGACGGGGAGAGGGGGTCGGTTCGGTTCTGGTGGGCAGGAAGAAACAGCCCAGAAGATAAGCAAGTTGGCCCAATTACAGGAGACGGTGGCTGCTTACTTGTTGAGGCCTACGTAAGTTAATGGGCTTTACGAAGGCTGGACCAACAAAATCATTCAGTGCCCGCTTAGAGAAGGTTGGCTGCCTGAACTAAATAAACCCAGTCGAAATCGTTTAAATTACTCCGTGCCTCAGAACCAAAAAAAAAAAAAAAACTGATGTTTTAGTTTTATCGTAAGCCAAACTATCTAAAGTTTTAGTTTTGTTCAAAGTCAAACAATGTCTTAAACTAAGACTTCATAATTGATCTACTGAGCACTCTTTGTTTCAAAATACTCAGCACTTTACAACATGGAGCGGCACGGACCTCCACGGTGAAGCCAGTGGCGAATCTAGGATTTTAGGTTAGGGTATGCCACCTAAAAAATTTTATATACAATTCGGTAAATTCATTTTAGCACTTCGGTAATAACTGTAAAATTGACAAGTGATTCGGTCTATATGCACTAAGTAACACGATAAGGCTTAAATTCATGGATTAAGTACAATATAAATAGTTCAAAAGCCATCAACTTCAGAGAAAATATTCCGCTCAATGAAAATGAGCAATCATCTAAAAGATTATCTCCCATCTTATTTCGTAACTTTATTTTCACTAATGATAGACTCTGATGTTAGGATAAACCCTCGACCTCGCGGCGTGATAGATGATTTTATGAGGTTAGGGCTTAGCAAATAGCAATTAAAGTAGACATGATTTTTTTTACGAAAAGCCGATGAGCAAAGATATTGAATCACACCTCAATTCTGATCACAAATTGCGCGTAAGCCTCCGTAGGCTGCCGCTGCCTGTGCGGTCAGTCCGAAGCTCTGGGAGCGTTGTGGCCCTAGGAACTAGGGACGACGACGACTGGATGCTCGTGCTCCGTATTGGCGATTTCCGATCTAGTATGCGTATGCTGTCGAGCGGTGAAGATCTGAAGGAACCGTCGAACGAACCTATACGGCGATACCACAATTAGTTTCTAGTCGGGTCCATACCTCCGGCGTCCCCTTTTTGCTCTTTGCCGCCGCCCTTGTTAAGCCTCCTTGTTTGACTCTATGAGAGATTAATGTTTCATGGTCTGATATTAGTTATAGGAGTATTCTCTATTGGGGGTCCATAGCACATGATGCCGGTTTCCAACTATATAACAATTGTGCGGAAGGTGAATAGGTTGCGGTTTCAAATCGGTCGCAGGAGGCTTCACAATGGTCAGGTAGACGGTCCGTTTGAGTTTTTAGCTGTAGAGATTTGATCAACTTAAGAGTTGAGATTGGCTCATGAAAAGAGAGAATTATTTTTTTAGACGGATATACGGGCAAGTTTTATCAAATGTTAGGAGAACGCACATCAGGGAGCAGCTCCCTAAAATTTGCAACCGCTTGCATGGGCTGATCATGTAAAATAAGGAAGGTTTGCTGAAAACAAGATAATTATAACGAGTTGATAAAATTAACTTAAGATCACTTCCGTGACAAATATAGCTAGAGGAAACAACTCTTTAACTGACATGAACACACTCGAACAGAAATGACACATCAGTTTGTCGTCAGCACTCTTTGTATCTAACATTATTACAAATAAAAGATAATTCGGAGTTGCCATGCTCAAATGAAGTAAACTTCCACACAGTTTCCGTGACGGATTGACATGACATCAAAATTAAAAGTTGTTTTCTCCGGAAGGAAATCCATAGCTTCTACAAATAACAGAGGATGTTTTATCTCATTTGAGAAATCTCTCCTTAAAAATGACCGAAGATGGGATACCTGGAAGTTAACATAGTTTCTTAGAAATGTAGCATAAACAACAAGATTCTGCAGAGGTTGGGGATACTAGTAGAGACCAAAAAACAAAAAAAACACACACCTAAATATAGTTGCATCCGGGTTCCCGTTCATACCTGCATGTCTTCGGTCGAGGACGTCAAGAATTTCCGCTATAGAAGGTCTATTCCTCCGCTCGCGTTCCACACACCGTAACCCGATTGTAATGCATTCTTTCACTTGATGGAGGCCATTGCAATCTAATGATGGGTACTTCGATACAATGTGCCCATCGAATGTCCAGTTTTGACGTACCTATAAAATTGGAATTATGTCCTAATTGATAATAATCCAGCTAATAAGAAACACTAACATTGTATCTTCAAATCATCAACTGATGTTGTCTTACATTATCAATGAAATCCCTCCCACACATATCTTTGTTGTTGCACATATTCTTCTCCCCCGTTGTGATTTCCATGATTATAAGGCCCAAACTATATATGTCTGAGTGCATTGAGATTTCACCTCTATATAAATATTCTGGAGCCATGTATCCTCTGTAGAGTTGGGGGGTTAACATATATAAAGGGGCCAGTAAGCATTACTATAGACATGAAAATGCTACTCCCTTCGTTCCAAATTATAAGACGTTTTGTTTTTTCTAGATACATTACTTTTGCTATATACTATGTCGAGGTATATAGTAAAAGAAATGTTTCTAGACAAGCCAAAACATCTTATAATTTGGAACGGAGGGAGTATTTGATTAGTAATAAGGATAGCTTAAATTAATTATCTTACAATGATCCCACTACATTTTGTGTGAACATCCGTGTTTGTTCTTCACCGAACAGCCTTGAGAGAGCGAACTCAGCAATTTTGGGCACTATATTGTCATCCAACCATATATTATCAGGCATAAGATTCATATGAACAAGAGGCCTATCCATTGTACGGTGCAAAACATGTAAACCTTGGCAGATCCCCTTAATTATCTTGAAGCATGTTGCCCAATCAATTCTTGACTCACCTAGAACGAACATATATGTAATTATGGCAGCATGTTAAGATAATGAGCTGCAGAAGTGTATATCCCATAACATACTAACGATACAACAAATGTTCACACTTGATCAACTTTTTCAGCAGAATAGAACTTGAATTTTAATGTTTCAGTATGGGAAATAATGTTTTCTTTTCTCGCTGTATTTAATTGCAAAAGTTGAATTGATAAACAGAAGATATTAGAGTGACAAGTATATCTATCAAATAGTGCATAGACGACGTACCAAAAATATACTTGCCAAGGCTTCCATTCCGAACATACTCATAGCACAGATAACTCTCAACAACTTCCACAAGAATATATCGTCCATTGTGCTGTATCACTTTCTTTTGTGTTTCGTGACAGTAACCAAGTAATCTCACGATATTTTCATGCATGAACGCCATAAGATTGTGAACCTCACTCTCAAACTGTTTTCCAGGCAGCAATAGAGAATTTCCCCCAATCTTCTTCACCAAAATTACTTGTTTACCTTCCAGTACTCCCTGTTTCACCTCACGTAGATATCATAAAGTAAGCATGCCCTTGTCTACTTTTGTAAAGGAAGAAAATGATGAACGCATAACATAATCACACCTTATAATATGTTCCAAATGCATTTGTGGCAATCACTTGTTCTGAAGAGAACCCTTCTGTAATCTCGTTCAAGAATTTTGACGTAATCTCGTTCAAGAATTTTGACGGTAAGTCCCCCGCTGGTACACTTACTAGACTGCCGCTGGTGCCAGTGGGCATTTCTGATGGTGCTTCCTTATGGATGGAAACAGCTTTTCCTGGTGACATATCTTTGTTTTTGGCCTTGCGAAAGATATTACAAGGCATATATGGATGGATGTCTTGGAAAGACCTAAACCTTTCTAGGCTCCTTCCAAGACATTTTTTCATATGCCTTCTAAACGATAGAGTGGCTCCATCTTCCTTCAATGCTCCTCTTAAGAGATCTCCAAAAGACTTTCTTAAAAAATCATCATTTAGAGAGATATTTGAATAAAATCACTCTCTATATCTTTCTACCCTCCAACAGTTGTTCTATATCAGACTTAGCTTAGCTTAGCTTTTTTTTTGTACCCTTGTTACTATACAGGTTCTCTTTATTTAATATATTTCAGTAGGGGCCTAAAACCCCTCCTGTTCCTAAAAAAACAGTTATTATATATCTTGTGTGCACTCTAGAGAGTCAATTCTGCTCTGCACTTTGGCTAGCTAGAAATCAAGAATAGAGAATGATAATATTTGAAGATCTATTTAAACAAAGTGTTGACGGACTTTTTTTATTAAAATATTTATTCCTAACAATAAGGAAAGATATTGAGAGACTCTTAGAGTGGCTCCGAGAGCGGGGCTGGGGTGGTGGATGTTTGTTCCATTTCTCGGATTTGTGCGGGATGCCAATCTAAGTTAAACGACATGGCTCAATGAAGTAATCAAATTCATCTATGGTAATTTTAGCCCACATAATCTGCTATTTGAAAATGAAGTATACAATGCTCTTGTGATAAAAGATAATAATATTTTTTTATTAAAAAAGAATGATGACCCGTACCTCTTCTATCCGGGACCTTGAGTCACCAACTTCCGTAGTTTCCACTTCCTTCAGTTTACACATGATATCCTGCATTGTATGTCTCTTGTATCGATCGGCCTCCATGCAGACTACTGCTATCTCAATACAGGTTCGCACCTGTTTGCTATCTACCTCAAGTGATGCATAACTCGATGTCTCCTGTAACTTCTCCCAGGAGTCGTGTACCTTCAAAAACGAAAGAGACCACAGGGGTGTTGTACATTTGTAGTCAAAAAATAGTGAGCAGTGTTCTACATGTGACCCATATACATGAACGGGTTTCTCTTTCTTGTAAGAACTAGGCAACTAGCAGAGGATTCACTAGAATATAATATCACTAGTGTATTATTCCTTTGAATCCTATTCTGAAAAAAAAAGAGAAAGAACATCACTCAGGTATGGCCAATAATTGTTTGATATATATGACACACTTCAAAAGTTAGCCTTTAATTGTTTGGTTCATCCGAAATTTGCTGAATTAGAATTGCTT